CCCTCCAATCACACCAGAGAAATGGTCCTCCTGGGGCTGAGACACAAGTTGGGGAACAGAGCCAGGCATCTTTCCTTGCTCCAGCACTTATTCTGAGGGGACAGAATGGGGAGGGAAATGTTAAATAATTTGCTTATAGGGTACCAGAAACTCATGTAGCCTCCAATAGGTTTGAATGAGTCAGGGGGAAAGAGCTCTTCCATTCCTTGGCTGGAAAGCCTGCCAGGCATTCTACCCTATTTCAGAACAACTTTCCTGTTCAAATATACATCACAAAGGCTTATATATGTATTAACTGCCCAACCATTACAAATAATGCAAATTAATTTTCACCCAAGTAAAGGGACTTTTAAAAAGTCAATTTATCTGCAGGTAAAATTACTATTTTATACAACCCACTTACTGCTCTATAGAGGTCAGATTTGGTTTCTGTCAATGAAAACTCTTCTGTCAAGTCCTCTAGCATTGCCTCCTGAGTGGATGTGGACCAGAGGAACACAGCTTCCAACTGTTCTGGACAATGGGTGTCTCAATGAGGACTCACGCCTCATGCATATCAGCCCCAGAGGGGACCATATAGCATTGACTCCAACCCCCAAATCACAGAGGAGCAACCCAAGGTCTTGAAGCCCACAGTTACCCAGCAACACTGGGATGACCTGATATCCTGACCCCCACTGCCTGACACTTTCAACACTCCATTACCACTTACAAAATGCAAGAATTAAGGTGTGATCAAATGGAGGCTTTACCAGGATGATAGAAATAGGAAGGCTAACATAATTTATATTTGCAACTACAGATCCAGCCGCACTCCTCCCTGACCCGAGCAAGAGCGTGTGTCTATGAGTCTCACCGGTAGGTGTCTTCCGAGTAGGTTTTCTGAACATAGTCCTGCAACTCCATCTGTGCCTTTTCTTGGAATTTTTCAATCTGGCTTGTGCTAGTCAAACCTGGATGATCTGAAAAGAGAAAATTGCCCCCAAATTGCCCTCTGTATTCAGAAAGCCTCACAGATTTCTAAGAACTTATTTTTAATCAAACTTCTGACAAATTTCTCAAGCATAACAGATTGAACTCTGAAGGCTGATAGGGTCTGGATGTTGTTAGAACACTGGATTTTCCTGTGCTCTGCCAAGGCCTGGAGGTGCCCAGGAGGGGGCTGAGCTCCTGAGTAGTCATTCCAGCCTCAGCAGCCTCAATTGCTGTTTCTGGACATTTGCTTCCTACTACTCTAGAAAAAACATCAATTTTAAAACTATCCCATGAAATTAAAAATTTATTTTCCAGGTATTTAATCACATAATTTCCCCATTTTGATTAGCTAGTTTGTTTGTGAGTGTAGGGTTGGGAAGCAAGGGAAAGGTTAAGCAGTGTACAACCCTAGCTGTTGAACACAATGGTAGGTAAGGACAGCAGTCACCCAAGTGACCTTTCAGGAGGCTCCGAGATACCCTAACAGCCAAGGGGAAGTGAGTGAGGCCAGCCCAGCAGTCTCCTACTTTCCACCAAAAGTCCTGCTGCCTCTTCTTCACCTGCTGTGACCACACCTTTTCATGCGCCCTGTAGTAGCTGCTGCTACTACCCTCCACAGAGACTATGGGTAAACTTGTGCAGTTTCAATCTGTACTGAGTTATATATGCTAACATAACCTGAAAATTGGCAAAGAGCAAAACAAATAAAAATAAACAAAAAGGGCACAGGATGGTAGAACACTGTTTTGTATGTTGTAGACTGCTTGGCCAATGGTTTAATCAGATTACAGATTACATCTATTCGGTATATCAAGCCATTTCTTTGGGACTGTAAGGGCAAGAATTTAAAGGAATGTATGTATGTATGTAAGCTAACAAAGCACACCTATTATGAGTGCATTCAGTCACAGTCTGGCAGGGCTCTCTACGCTGTTGATAACTTCACAACACATTCATGTTCACAAACATCAGTTCACAAACAGGTGTTAAACAGTCATGCGCCACCACTGCATATCTTACCGGGGCTGAAGAGAACTATAGCTTTAAGGTATGCATACTCATAGCCGTCTATATCCAGCTTTGCCATACTGTTACAGAACTCCTGAAGCTTCCAGATGTGCTCCATGACTTGCTTTATCCGGTCGCCAGAAAGTTTATCTATAAATCAACATCACAGATCCCCTAAGAAAGGCTGGTAAGAATAACAACACAAGCTTCTTTGAGGGGAAAGAGAATAATTTCATGTTTTAATGAAAAACCAGTTATCAAGATGGTCAAGAGCTTCACTTTCCAGTTGAAGGTGAAATGACAACAGGTATCCCAATTCTATTCTGTTATATATATTTTGCCTCAATAATGAACCCCTGGACCAGCAATTCTCCCTGGCCCCTTCCTGGGCAGCACCTTTGGCCTATAGTGTAAGTTGGTAATTCCTTTTATTCTGTGCTCAACACCCATTTGTATGTTGTTATCAATGGTTAGGTTTTATAAGTCTCGGCAGGCATTTAATAAACATTAGCCAACTTAAAATGTTGGCATTTTTTACTTTTCAAAACAATTCTGTTATTTGATTTAATCCTCATAACAACATTTTGCTGAGGGGTACCAGCATTATACTCAATTAAAAATAAAGTAAAAGCTTATCTGTGAACAAATCTAACTTTATAAAATGTTATAGGGTTTTAACTATTTGTAACTATTTCAAAGGAATAATTACAAAAACAAAGGTGTGACTAGGTAAGTCACATTTCTCGATGTCAAACACCTGGAATGCTCAATTACAAGTACAGCTGAATTCCCATTCAGCTCAAGTATAGGCTGTCAGTGTTAGTCTTGAACCCTCGCCATGCTCTACCTAGACAGGGTCTTCACTGTGTTGAGGACACACAGCATGTGGACAGACTGCACTGGCTATCTCCCAGTTCTGACACACTGGGATCTGACCACCAAATGTTAGATGGTGGTTGTCACAGATCTTAGGTTTATTTGTTCATTTACAAGGAGCTGGATGAGGTAACTGTCCTGGACCAGGGGGTCTGCATGACCTAGGTTGGTGTCTCAGCTCTTCTATTTGCTGTTTCATTTGGGGCAAGCCAGGGACATTACCAGGACCTCAGTTTCCCCATATGTAACACTGAGATAATAGTTTCTATTTTATAGGGTTGTGAGGATTTGTGAAATATTACACATGAAAAAAAGGGTAACCTGTTAAGATGAAAACATAAGCTGTGATTATTCTGAAAACATCACCATATGTCTATGTAGTAGGCAGTTGCCAACTTTCTTCATTTATCTTTTTCCCCAACTTTCATATTCATTATATGAAAAAAAAAAAAGGCAATCAGGTAGAAATTTAAATGTTCTGACTAGTCAAGTTTCTATGACTTAAAAGTTTAACCTCCCGCAGCCTATGGATGGTATGGGACACTAAGGCTAACCAATTTGCGGTGGGCCAACCTAGATGGAGACATTCCCCCATGTCCCAGCCCTACCTTCCTGGATGCTGTTCTGCAGGTGGTTGACGATGGCTGCCAGGATAGTGGACAGACTCATGACCTGGGCACACTGGGCCAGGCCGAGGGTGAAGAGCTCATTCCAGCAGGCCCGCACCAGGCTGGTGTTGCAGTCCTGCCTGGGGACATAGAGGTAAGGGTGGGTGCGGGTGCCAGTTGGCACTTCTTCAAACCCCAGCATGCCCCAAACAAGTGGATTCAGCAGGTGTATGGTGAAGGTCTATGGTATATCCAGGATCATTCTGTAAAACACCACTGTCTAAGAATCTCTAAACTAAGTCCCTCTGAGGATAAAATCTCTCCTCTTAAAAAAGATTTGAACTTAAGTAATGAGAAATTTTAATAGGTATGATTAAACCATCATTTACTACAGCTTTCTAAATCTGCAGCTGTCCTGACATGGCTTGGTCATGAGAGGATGCAGTAATCAAAGAACTAAGAGCTGAATGTAGGCTCTGAAGGGAGGAGACATACTCTACACTTAGGCTTAGGAACCAAGGGCCTACAAACCCTGCAAAGAAGGAGCTGGCACTGTAGTAGGGAGGAAGTCAGCTTTCAGCCCTGCCTTGGGTAGTTTATACTTAGGATGACATGGCTGGTGCACTGCAAAATAGTATGTCCTTATCTCAGATGTCTCCAGATGCAGCACACCCCTACCTGTCTCCAGATTTTAGGATGACTCCTGCTTCTATTCCACCCCATCCCCAGCTCCTAGCATTAAGTCCTTAGCACATGGAGGAGGCTTGATAAAGATTTGAGGAACACTGCAATGCTGGCAACCATGCTATCAGTCCATTGACTGTATTTAATAAGAAAATCAGGTCATAGGAACAAATTGGAAGGGCCCTCAAGATTTTCTAGGCCATTCCTAGAGATGGGAAGGACCTTGCTGAAGGATACACAGGGGAAAAGGCCACTTACCCAAGTGCCTGAAAAGCTGGGATTGACCTGGCCCAGTGCATGGAGAGGAAAAGCAGACGGGACGCAGACTCGCAGATGTAGTGCACATTGAGGTACTCTGGCATTGGGCTGGGCATCGTTAGCTGGAGAAGAGAAGGTACAGAGCACAGGAGGTGACAGAGGGACAAAGGATGGCTTTGTTTGTCAATATGAATCCCTGTTGTGTTTCAACATCATAGCAGCCAGAGCCACTGATGTTGAGGCTCCTGTGTAGACCCATCCTATGAAGCGTGTGTCCTCTGTAGTGGACACTGGCACCAGCTCCCATGGTTTCTTGCCCAGTGAACTAGGGTTTGATGGCCCTTGGAATGTGGAATGATGGGGACTGCCCCCACCTCCAGCTTATCCATACAAAGAAACTTTTCAACTCCTGCCTCAAATAAATTATTTGTTCTAAGGTAAATCCATTTTGAATCAAAGGTTAAAGTCTAAATCAAACTGGGAAAAAGGGGTCCACTTCCTGGATTAGCAGACATTTGGTAGGTGGCCTCAGGCAAGAGTGTGTGAGAGCTGAGCAGAAACCCAGATGATAGGAGAAGAATATCCACCACCAGAATGTCAGGCCTGGGCTCCAGGAGCTCCATTGTCTAGAAAATGCCTTTGAAGCTTGAATCCCACTGGTGATCTGTATCCTCAATACCTTTGGGCAATTATAAGCAGGGACCAAATCTTCCTAAGTGACTGGCCAGATCTCCAGTAAAGAATGCTGGGGGAACAGGGAGACTTAATTTAGAAACCTAGAGATTAAGAGGGCTCACGGAAGCTGGGAGTGTCCTACAGAAGCGAGGCCAATGGAGGAGGGTGTGGGGAAGACATATGGGGGCCTCATAGTACCCATCAAGGACACCTGAGATCTACTTTCTATAGGTCTAGAGGGCAAGTGGTCAGGACCAATGGGTGGACATGAGGGCTGGCTGCCTGCTGTTGGAGCCGACCAAGGGGCCTGCCTCAGCCTATACTGGAGCCAGGCCTTTATCAGAAGGAGGAAGGCAGAGCAGTCAGCTATTAGCCTTTGCTGGTCAGCACCACATCAGCTTCTCAGGGTTACCTTCAGAGCCAAATACCACTCTGAGCAAAAGACGAGTGAAAATGCTTCATAATTGGGAATACAGTTCTAGAATACAATAGCCCGCTCAAATGCCACAATATGGAAATGAGCTCACTCCAAGGTTTGATTTTTAAACTGAGACCAGCTTTGGTACAAAGCCTCTCTCCTAGCAGGCTGGGGGCACGTAGTTAGGCTTAACACACTCACCTTAAATGTGACGTGAGTGTCTGAAAGGAGAGGGCCTTCAACCTCAATGATGGGTGTGGACTGGTCTCTGCTGATGACATGGATGCTACCACCTCCACTGGTGTCTATCCCATCTGCCAGGCTTGGAGGCGAGGAGCTGTCTGTGGTATTAAGTGCTTTAGCTAAGGTATCAAATGCCCTGTGAGCAAAATTGAAGCAAGTAATATTGTAAATCCACAGCTTTTAAGGGAAATGGACTCTAGCTGAGACATAATTTAGAAAAACAATGTATTTGAGAAAGATAATTATATCCTACCTGCTGACAAAAGGGATAACAATGAAAGCTATGTATTGTCTATATATCACCTTGGCCACTAAGCTATATTCTTTTCACATGGAATTTTTATTTTTTACAACTACTCTCCAAGGTAGAATTCTCTCCATTTTATAGATGTGAAAACTGAGGCTTAGAGATATTAAATAACTTTCCAAGACTGCCCAGTGGTAGAACCAGATCCTATCCTCTTTCCATTGGATCAGATGTAAATTAGTGAGTGGTAGAACCAGATCCTATCCTCTTTCCATTGGATCAGATGTAAATTTTGCTAACAGATCACAAGTGAATGTAAGAACCAGCACACTTGTGTGGCACAGAGGTTCACCTGCCTGGCCTGGTAAGATGGGCAGGAGTGGCTGTGCCCACAAGAAAGGAGCAAACACCAGAGGCACGCTGCAGAAAAGAAACACCCTCAGTAGCCAACTGCAGATGTCTGGGACCAGTTAACACCATCGATCACCTAATATCTACCTACCCTGATGGATTTAAGCTCTAGACTCACGACTTGGGAAAAATATACATGAAAAAAATAGGCTAAAACAGAATTGGGAAAGGGGATACACTATTAATATCCAGGCATTATAAGCAATGACTGATACAAGTAACACCTGTCCACTGAAGAGTTTTCCCCTGCTTCCACTGAATTACTGTCCTTTTTCATTGTCTGGAATGAAAAGCAATTTTGATTGTTTTATATTATATAAGTGGGTCCTCATTCTCATAGTTAAAATGTGGAAGGAGACAGATGTGCAGGGGCACTGTGACAATTTTACAATCCTTGAATAAATACAGGGTGGGTGTCAAAGTACTGCCACCCACCCTCACAATGCAGGAGGGGAGCCACCCTCATGGGTTCATACCGAGTAATCTCACTTGCAGACTGGTCCTCCGGCTGCATTTCCGAAGTGTCACCATTGTTAAGGGATTCACTTAGGTTGGCAAGGGAGGTTACTACGTTTGCCAGTGTGCCCAGAGCTCCCTGGCTTGTTTCAGCCTATCAAACAAAAAATAACATTAAAAGATGAATACACACATGTTGAATACACACGCGCACACACAAATGACTGTCAGGCCAATGAATGTATAATGTTGGTTTATAAACAGTTTCTAAGGAGGTCTGACCACAATGGGGCAGCATGAGGATCTTTTCAGTGATGGATTAGTTCTATATCTTGATTGTGGTGGTAGTTACACAAATCTATACATGTGATAAAATGACACATCAAGAAGAGATAAACTAGACGTCATCAAAATTTAAGCATTTGTGCCCTGGTGGGTGTGCCTTAGTGGTTAGAGCATCAGCCAGCACACCAAAGGGTCTCTGGATTCCTGGTCAAGGGCACATACCTGGGTTACAGGTTCATCCCTGGCCCCAGTAGGGGCATGTGTGGGAGGCAACCAGTCAATGTGTCTCTCTCACATCGATGTTTCTCTCTGTTCCTACCCCCTGCCCTCTACTCTCTCTGAAAAGCAATGGGAAAAATATCCTCAGGTGAAGATTAAAAAAATAAATAAATTTTAAGCTTTTGTGCTTCAAAAGTCATTATCAAGAAAGTAAAATGCCACCTCCCCTCCCCAAGACAACCCACAGAATGGGAGGAAATAATGGCAAGTCATACATCTGATAATAGTTTAGCTGTCAGAATATCTAAAAGACTCTTACAACTCAATAATAAAAAGACAAGCCAGTTAAACAAATGGGCAAAGGATTTAAGTAGACATTTCTTTGAAGAAGACATACAAATAGCCATAAGCACATGAAGAGATGCTCAACATCACTGGAAATGTAAATCAAGACCACAGTGAGCTACCACTTCACACTCACTAGAACAACTATAATAAAAAAGATAACAAGTGTTGGAGAGGATGTGGAGAAACTGAACTCTCAGACACAGTTGGTGGGAATGTAAAATGGTGCAGTCACTGAGGAAAACAGTCTGGCAGCTCCTCAAAAGTTTAAACACAGAGTTACCATAAGACCAGCAATTCTACTTCTAGGTATACACATAAGAGAAATGAAAACATATGTCCACAAAAAAGCTTGTACACAAATGTTAATAGTGACACTATTCATAATAGACAAAAAGTAGAAACAACCCAAATGATCATCAGCTGATGAATGGATAAATAGAATGTGATATAGCCATTTAAAGGCATGTTATTTATCAATAAAAAGGCACAACAGAACAGCTGCTGTGAAATCCATTGGTAGTCAGGAGTTTAAAGGTTATTCAACCCATCCTTTCAGTCTTACAGTTTTCTCTCCACTTCACTACCCAGTAAGTCACTGTCCCAAATGTCTCCTGGGTGACAGCAACAAGCCAGGTGTGATTCTCAGGTCACACACATCATTGCTGACTAAGGAAAGGAAGCTCAAAGCCCAACCTGAAGACCATTGGGTAGAGGACAGCTCTCCGTGCCAGCTAATGGCTGTAATTTTTTTTTTTAAGTATGTCTTTACTTATTTCAGAGGAAATGAGAGGGAGGGGGAACGGGAGGGAGAAACATCAATGATGAGTCATCGATTGGCTGCCCCCTGCATGCCCCCTGCTGCGGATCAAGCCCAAAACCTGGGCACGTGCCCTAAGAGGGAATTGAACTGGGATCTCCTGGATCATAGGTGGATGCTCAATTGCTGAGCCATGCCAGCCAGGCTGGCTCTAATTTTTTCCTTTTCTTTCTCAAAAGAGGATGCTTCTTAATATACTGAGTGTGCACATTGATGTACATGTGAACAAATGACAAGGCAGCCTGCAGCCCCAGCTGCTCTGGCTCTTAGGGCAGCGGCAATGCCAGTAGTGCTCTGGTTCCAAGTCATTCCTTTCAGAGAAGAAAACTGGATCTCAGCCATGGCTGGCTGCTACTTCATTTCTTGGGTCAAGATGAGAAAGACAGTGATTCCCTTACCTGGATAAAACCCTCTTTAGTTATCTTCATAAGAGTCAGCCAGTTGTCTCTCTCTCTCTCTCAGATTGACAAACATCCTTGTTTTCCTCAAGTTAAATTTCCTAGGGCTGATTAGCTCTAGCAGTTTTGGAACTGTCAGAATCCTAGCCGAACTTCCTCCTGCACATCATCTAATAAAAAGGAACTAGTGGCTTCTATAAAAGGCTGCCTTAGGATAAGTAACTGTTTCTTTAGCATGCCAGCAGTTTACCAATGTGTGTACCAGGGGGAAAATTCTTAATACAGAACCATAGAACTTTCACCGAACTGAATTCTAGACCCTGTTATAATGACTATGACCAGCCAGCCCATACTGAGTTTCTGAAAAGCCACCAGCATCCCTAAAACAAATCACAGGGGGCTGAATCACAGGAAGTAAACTGAGAAGCAGAAAGTCATGCTTGCAACATGGTTTCTGAAGGCTAAGAAGAAGGTGCTGCACACATTTAGAAAAGCAGTCTGCACTGTAACATAAAAATGGGGGAGAAGGCATAACATCACCTTGGAGTCTGTGGCCAGGAGAACAGTACCATCCTCACGTATCAAAGGTTGCTGGATGTTCACAAGCATCCCTGGATCAAGAAGACTTGTTTGTCTATTTAAGACATAAAGAAACCCAGAGTAGCTTCCAACATTTAATTCACAGTATGATCATGCTATATTTCCCTGTCTCTTCCACATCTGCAAGGCTGTCTGAGTAGAAGAAAAGCTCTAACTAGACTCAGACACCAAGTGACTGAACAACCCCCCTTCTCTCTGCAATGAGATGTGCACATAGCCAGGTCTATAGCCTCAGACAGGCTGACACTCAGACGCACATCCTCAGGGCTTCCATGATGACTACAGACTGTGGCCGATCTGCCAATAACATTAACTTTATCTTTAGGATATCACAAAGGCATTCTCAATTCTAGTTCTATGATACATTTGTATTTCTTGTTTTCCCGTTCTCTATTCCTTTTAAATTAAGTTTGTTAGATTACATTAAAAAGAACATATACATTAACTTGTGGCACTATCTGAGACCACACCTGAGACTTAGGCCTTTTGTCTCTACTGCAAAAATGCCCCAATCTTGAACTACAGAACTGTTTTCCTGTATGAATAATGCCAAACTACAGGACATAATCTGAGTCCTTGAAAAATTCTGACCCTATCACCCATCCTCAGGACTGTTCAGAGGTTTGACTGGAGCAGCTCCAAAAAGGGTGGGATGAGGCAAGACAAAGCTGATGGTCGTGGCAGACAGGCAGGGAGCCATATAAATCCCCTTTCCAAGAAACACTGGTGCCTCCTGTGATCAGCAACAAAAGCTGATGGTAGTATTATCCTTTGTCAAGACAGAGACTGACCTTGCTCCATCTTTATCTGCCACAAATGTGGGAGTGGCAATCAGAGGACTTCTCAGGTCCTTCCGGATATAGATTTTCTCAGTTGAAGCAGCACAATTGCTTGGTTTCTCCCGCTGCACATCAAAAGGCTTCCGTTCACTCTGTACAGCTTAAATCACAATAAATATTCATGTTTAGAGGAAAGATTTGAATCAATAAAAACTACAATTTTACTTAAAAGACTAGCTCAATATTCAGTGGACTTTCAGCAAAAGGAGCTTTAAAGGTTGAAAGTCAAACAATGCCATGTAAAATCTAAAAGCAGGAAAAGAGCTCAAGATGGTGGGTGCTGCCTGTGAAAAACTGCAGCACAGCATCTGCAGTGCCTTGTGGGGGCCCACTTGAGCCCTCTGGGTTTTCACTTCTTACTTGCTAACAAAAAGGACTCTCTCCAGGATGAGAAACATCCATTTTCAAGTGGGGCATGTCTAATGCCAAACATTGTAGAGGAACAACTCTAATGTCCACCTCCAGCCTGCATCACTTCTGCAAAGTGTTTAATGTCAATTTTCTATCACACTAGCAACTTCTCCCTTCAGCAATCTAGTGTAACAACAGGTATATAAGCCAGAAACAACTGAAGAAAATAACGACCTTTTTAAAAGAAAGAATGAACCCCAGATCCAGTATGTAAGAAGTAAGGTAAGTTCTATTTCACAGAGGAGGTCCCTGTGGTTTAGTGAAGCGAAATGTCTTCCCCAGGCTTCAGAGCTCCTAAGTGACAGAGCTGGAGTTTGATCTGGTATCAGCTTTACTCCAAAGCCTGTGTTCACCCCACTCCACAGTACTGCCTCTCGATTTACTGGGAGTAGGTTTCCACATACACCATAGGAACTGATCAACCCCAGCAGTGTCGGTGCTGAAGCACCAAGCAATCCAGAAGGTAAACCAAAATGAAGCCTGAGGGAGTGTTTTTTTCTTAGCATTTTAAAGCCAGGTACAGAAACCTTATTTCATAGACTCATGCTCACTTTCTCCCTTCCTTGTTAACTCGTGGCTTCTTTAAAACTGTTACTCACATTCCATTTTCATGCCCATCTCTAAGCATTTCTTCAGCCGGCAAAACTGACAGCGGTTCCGGTGGTGCTTATTGATGATGCAGTCTTGGTTGCTCCGGCAGCTATAGGTCAAATTTTTCCTTACACTCCTTTTGAAGAAACCTTTGCAACCTTCACAACTGACAGCCCCATAGTGACGGCCTGAAAGAATAAAGAGTGCATGAAGCAGTTTACCAAGAAAAGAGGTGACCCATTACAGGCCCTGTTTTTAAGGCAAATTTATCAAAGTCATGGGGGTGTAGTGTCAGATGCTGGTGCCATGTGGACAACCCTGGGCCTGGGCATTAAGCATTGGTAATTAGAAGTTAGGGTCTTTACCACTGTTTCTCTACAATCTTTACAAGAGCCCTGGGAGATCATGATGAAAAAACTTAAGCTCAGATAGGTGACATGACAGCTGGTAAATGGCATGAATTTAATGCTCTTAAACAAAGGACCTACCATACAGTAGGAGCTCACGGGGATGGCCAAACTGAACTGTCCTCTGCACATACCTGGTCTTGGCTCCGCAAACCTAGGCTTGTGAAACTACTCAGGCCCCCTGTCCTGCCAAGAGTGGGAGGTGGCAAACACATGCATGTGGTATTTTGGGATACAGGGTCGCACTCCTGCATTTGTTCTCCCTATGTGAGCCATATCCTGGGCTTTAGACTGCTCCTGGGGGAAGTGGAATGATGAGAGGAATCAGCACGGGGACTGTGCCTGGGCAGGTCCAAGGTGAAGGAAGGCTGTCATGTAGCTTGGGTAGTGAGACTCTTCTCGAAACATAGTCCTAGAAATACAGTTATTAAGCACAGTTCTTTTTTTCTAATCTTGGTTACTTTGGTGTCTCTAACTCCTAATTACCAATGACATTAAACAGAGCACCACCTCAGTTTGCTCTTCTTAGTTCACAAAGCGCTTCCACAGGCAATATACCTCATTTGTTCCCAGCTGAGACTGACCATAGCCGTCTTTTTATTTTATTACATTTATTGGGGTGACATTGGTTAATAAAATTATACAGGTTTCAGGTGTATAATTCTATAATACATCGTCTGTATACTGTACTGTGTTTACCACCCTAAGTCAAGCCTCCTTCTATCACCACACAGTTCAGTCTTATGCAACCCAATGCCTTAGCCATTGCTGGGAGGACATGTTTTGCAGGATCATTTTCAGCAGCTACACAGCACCCCATTGTCCTAAGCTCTAGCACTTGGAGCCATTCCCCAAGGGTACTCTTGGAGGGTCTCAATTTTGTGCCTTTAAGAAGAGTTGTGCTAAAATTACCTACCATGTAGGCATCATATTTCCTTCTTTGCAGGATATTTCCTTGGGATTTCTAATGCTAAGAGTGACCTCTAATATCTGGAGACAATGGCACTGTGAGACTGTGACTAGGCTGTTCCTTTAAGTCCAGAAAGGGACTGACAAATGAGAAGTCAGATTCTGTGCCCTTTTCCTTATGTTTATGCTTCATTCATTTGTTCAAAAGTTTGCAGTGTCTCTCCTTGCTGAGCAAGAAGGTAGGAATATAGAGATGGAGGGGTCAGACATGGCTCTTGCTCTAACAAAAAAAAGCACATTCTGGTGGGTAAGACAGGCCTGTAAGAACAATTATAAGAGAATGAAACAAATGCTCAGTGAGATCTGTTCTGTAAAAGGGGGACGAAGACAGAGGGAGCACAGGCGATTGCCTCAAAGGGGTGGGATGGGCTGGATTTACCAGAATAAGGGGTGGGAGCAGAGGCAGGACACCCCTGATAGGGCAAATAGTGTCACAAGCTAGAGGGAAACTGGAGCTTCTATCGATGCTTGCCTAGAGCTGCCTTCCTAAGAGGTGTGGTCCAGACTCCTTTTTAAAACAAACAAACAAACAAACAAACCAAACAACCAACCAACCAACCAACCAACCAACCAACCAACCAACCAGGACCACAGTGACCACAGAATAAAGTGGAACTAAGCAGACACCACAAAACTTAGACCTATGCCACTAGCATCACTGGAACTGGACCTTTATTAAATATTCCTCCATTCCTCCCTGTCTGCCTCACTTATTTTGTACAGCCTTCAGTGTTAGCAGGCCAAAGCCTGAGGTTTTGCGCTAGACATCCATTTTCCTTGTACCCATATACCCAGGAACTCTTCCCCAAATATACCTTGGGTGGGTGTGGGCATCAAAGTGAGCCCTGGCTCCATGAGCTGGAATGCCCTTCTGTTTTACCTGACACAGGCACACTCAACCTCCAAAGCTCACAGATGTGACTGCCCCTGGGGGCCTTTCCTGACTCTGGGACTCCAGCCAGAATCACATGTTCCCTTCTCCTGCATTTCAGCAGTTTATTACACTGGGTTACAGTGAAGGAATGACAGTTTACAGGATGAAGAGGGAATAAATAACACATTTTGTGAAATAGCAAAGCACTTAAGCAAATTTTGACTGGATTAAAGAAATGATTACTTTCTTAGAAGCACATACATATTCAACACTCAACCATGATTTACAAATCACAGAAATAGTTTCCTGACGTTTTTTATTCTAATAATCTGACAAACTGATTTGCTTATATATAATATTATTCCAGTAAGAAAAGTGAAGTTCACAGTTTGAAACCTACAGCCCCATAGAAAATGTTTTCTCCCCATTATTACCTCTCCCCTCAATTTGGTCCATAATGTCTATCCATGATGCACACCTAGCATGACTTAGGGTTACTTACCAGAGGCTTTGTCTCCACAGACCACACAGTACTCTACCACCTGGGGCCGCTGGACATCAGCCTTCCCCAGCAAACGCTCCACAGAAGCAGAGTCTGTGACAATCTAAGAAGAATCAGGAAACAAGCAAGGTGCAGATTAAAAGCTAGATAGCTAGGCAAGGTAACTGTAAATTCCTAATCTTGGGTTTCTAAGCAGGAGAGATGATCTGGGCAGAACTGGGAAAATTCTACCTGACAACTTAACCTGACGCCCAGAATGGCCCTGCTGCTCATCTGGACTGTACCTCTTCATTGGGGGGGTGGGAGTGGGGGAAGTCTAGGGTCAAGCACTGGTTTTCACTGATCTGCTCACCTATCTGGCTACCACAACCACCCAGGACTAGATTAAAGAAATGATTACTTTCTTAGTAGCACACATTAGACATGTGGGGGCCATGTGGGGAATCACACATAGAAGCTTCAACATGAAGATACTGAAGGTCTTTCTGGCTGCCTCTCTATTCCCACGAAATAGCTTGAAAGTATGCAGAGAGGTACCTTTGGCAGAAATAATCAAACTTTACTAATTAAATAAGCAGGTCTCTCACTGAGGCAGTTGGGAGTGAAATAACTAGAATAGGTGATCTCCAAAACCTGCTATTTCTCCTTTATTTGTAGGTGACTTTCTAGGTGACAAACAGTGCTACTCATCTAGAACTCTGTAACTGGCACCAATATGAGAAAGTGAAAAATAGCTGTTATTAAATAATGTATTAAACATAAGTCTTAAAATTATATATGTACGGTGGGAATATATATGGAAATCATTAAATAGAACCACCTCTTGTAAAACATGCAGCACAATCAACAATCATCCTTTCACAAACAAGGAGTAGTCTAAATAAGCAGTGAGGAAGTCTGATTTCAGATTATCAGAATGTGCTGTGGGAAAGCAAGGATGAGGCAGTATTTACAAAGTGCACTATGAGGTATCTCAAAAGTACAATTCTGAAAGTTGCACACATTAGTATTCTAAACCTAGCTCTATCAGAAGAAAAAAAAAATCCTTTCCTTCCTTAATTTTCTCCATAGTAGAAAGCCTGCCTCCAAAACAAATAGATTTTTAGCAGCATTATTTGCAGTAGCCAAAAGGTAAAAGCAACCCAAGTATCCACCAACAGATGACTGGATAAACAAAGTGTAGTATATACATAGAATGGAATATTATTCAGCCTTAAAAAGGAAAGACAACTTTTGATGATTCTATCATTAGCTTGTCCCTCTACTGAAGGCAACAGTTTCTATTGGGCATCTTTACCCATAGTTTTTTTTTCTGGATTCTAGCAATCAGTCCTTCCCTCTCCCTTTCAGACCTCAGGGTAGTACTATCTTTATCTTTTGTTGCTTTCCCCAAATCCTGACCACACCTCTATTAAATTCTCCAAATAGCCCCCCCCCCAAAAAGGGAAAGAGATTCTGTCACCTGCTATGATATGGACGAATCTTGAAAACATGCTAAGTAAAATAAGCCACTCACAAAAGGACAAATATTGTAGGATTCCACTTATATGAGGTTCCTAGAGTAGTCAATTCATAGAGACAGAAAGTAGAATGGTGGTTGCCTGGGGCTGGGGGTGGCGGTGGGGAGGAGAAAAGGGGAATTAGTGTTTAATGGGCACAGAGTTTCAGTTTGGGAAGATGGAAGAATTTTGTGGATGGCTGGTTGGATGGTGGTGGTGGTTGCACAACGTGAATGTACTTAATGCTACTGAACTGTACATTTAAAAGTGATTAAGATGGTAAATTTTGTTGTATTTTACAAATTTTTAAAAAATTAAAAATTAAAAACGAACAAAAACAAGGCATTCCTACTTAACCCTGACTAAACATTAAACATGCTCCATGCTTGGCCACCATGGGACACTGCCCTCAAGTGTCTGTTCCTTTAATTGTTGGGCTTAGAAATTCAGTGCTTCCCAACAGCTCTGCTTTCCTTCAAGCCCTTGCTTTTCTCCTTCCTGTACCTGCCCCTGAACCCATCTGGCCTTGCCAGAGTAGAGAGAAGCAGGGCAGAGATGGAGATGAGAACTGAAGGTCCCAGAGGCAGCAGTTCACAGGAGCAAATGAGGACACAATGAAGAGCTAGACCAGGCCTGACCATCTGGACAAAGATGAGGTAAGAGTTAGAAACAAGTCAGTCCTTGTCTGACTGTGGTCAGCACTAAGTGGTATCCCTAAAGTATCCTGGGCCAAGGGCTGCCACCGTGTGGCTTCAGTTCAGAACTAAGTGGCCTCATGGTCAGCTTGCTCATGACAGTCTCCTGTGCACCACTGATTTTTCCAGGCTAAACTTCTATCCCATCTGAGCCCTGTAGTTGGCTGCCTTCTGGGCTTGCCATTCATTTGCTGATTTTTTACTTTAGGCAAAGCAGCAGCCTGCCATGTTTGTCAGGCCCCAAAGCACCTTCTAGAGGCGAATTTGGCCTCTGAGGCAGAGGTTACAGTCAGGAACAAGTCCAGTAACAGAAGTGCAGAAACAAATGCCTGTCAATAGGCCTTACCTGGATCCTGCCAGGGACGAGGTTGTCTGAGGTGGTGAATATGAGCTGCTTGGCACTGGATGTCTCCGGGGAAGCCAGGATCACCTTCCCAGTTCCAGCTCCATCTGGGCTGGTCAAGATGAACTGCTGCTTGGGGGATCCGGAGGCGTCCACTGCGGTGACTATCTGGATCTTCTGTCCTGTCTGCTGGTCTGTTACAATCTACAAGACACAACATGGAGGCTGCTCTCACGGAGCATCGTGCGACTCGTGCACTTGCAGGTGATGCTCAAAGTGGTGACTGCCCAACGTCGTCCTGGAGTCAATGCTGGTCCAAGATGCAGTTTCACCAGTGCATGGTGAAATGAGAAAAATAAAACACAACAGTGAACTTTTCAGAATACAGTTTTCATAAAGATAACTTTATTCTGGGATGGTATCATTCCCACTATTTTTAGAATGAAAATGTCCTTTAGGTGTGCAGAGAAGGATAATTGGGTGAATGTGGTCAAAAGATACAAACATCCAGTTATAAGATAAGTCAGTCCTGGGAATGTAATGCATAACATAATGACTACAGTTAACTCTGTTGTATGGCACATTTGAAAGTTATTAAGAGAGTAGATCCTAAGAGTTCTCATTGCAAGAAAAGATACTTTTTTTTTCTTTTTTCTGTATCTATATGTGATGATGGATGTTAACTAAAATTATTGTAGTAATCATTTCACAATATATGTAAGTCAATTCATTATGCTTCACACCTCAAACTTATACAATGCTGTATGTCAATAAAACTGGAAAAAGAAAAGCCCTTTATTTTATAAAATGAAGACAGTAATAAATAGTAAATGATAGGTTTCACTTAAAAAATATCCTTGTTCTGAACATAATAAAAAATGTGAACAACTTTTTTGAAATGCTGCTTACAAACAAAATGCAAAACCTGGAATGACCACTTTAAAGAAGAACTGTTTCTGAAGGGAAGGTCCTGTAAATAATCTTGCCTGTGGTAACAGAATACAGGGAGTCCCTTGCTGATATACACCCACCTTTTCCCACTTCCTGACTCAGAGGACTTTAAGGAGAAGGAAGACACCTGATTCACGGCTGTATCTCTAGGCTAGCACAGGGCCTGGCACATGGAAAGACGACTTTAATAGATTATGGAACTGAAGGCACAAACTCTGCTGAAGTCCTGACCCTGATTCCTCCAGGGATTCCTACCACTCGGGAGCCCAGCTGTCAAACTGCCTCTTCTGAATGTCCCTCCTGAGTGAATCAATCATGATTAAAATAGCTGCTATGGCAAGAGTGACTTCTCTTATTCCCATGAAGTCCTATGAAGCTGTTCTAGGCCTCGTCCTGCTCCCTCCCATGCTAAGTGCCCAGCTGAGAGCACTGCCCACCTTCTCCCCGAGGACACCAACAGGCCCTCACCTCAAACAGGAGTGGTGGGGTTGTTGTGACGGGGCCTTGGGCAAGGGGAAGATGTGCTGCATCTCTGGCTGGAACTCAGTTCCCTACAGCATATCTATGGGCAGGTCTGGCATCTGTGCCACATCTTGATACATGTTAGTTTGTGACATGGAATCCCATGGTTGGACAGGAAATTCACAGAGTCTAACACAAGAGCTTTGTCAACTGTTCAATATGAAAAATCAGACAATGCTGGGTGGTTCAAAGGAAAATGACAGGCAGGAAAGATGCAATTACTTGTTTACTAAGCACCTACTAAGTGTCAAGCACTGTTCTTGGTACTAGGGATAGGGACATGAATACCACTAAGTCCAAGTCCTACCTTGTGAAGTTAACCTTCCAGCAGGGAAACAGACTGTGAACATTCATATTATAGAATATCAGTCAGTGGAAGTGCCATGGAGAAAACGAAAAAGCAGGGTAAATGGACAGAGAATGACATGAGGAAGCAGCCGAGGGGGTAACTTTGGAAAGAAAGACCCCTCTGAGGGAGTGACGCTGAGCAAAGACCTGAATGAAGCAAGAGAGGAAGCCATGCAAGGATGTGGCAAAGTGTGTTACAGGCTGAGGGCACAGCAAATGCAAGACCAGAAAGAACAGCAGACCGGAGACAGAAGATGCAAAAACAAATCCTTAGCTGTTGGCTGGGCATGAATCCTAGTAAATCATCATTTCCAACTGAAAGGTGAAAAGTTCTTTAAGGGTAAAGAAGAGCAGATTTCGAGAGAAGCAAAGGAAGTACTTTTCACTGTTACAATCTGTGGCATACCCAGAGTCCGCTGAAACAGTAAAACATGAGACAGAAAATCTTTTTAAAAATTATTTTTAAAAACTTCCCTATCCAATGCTCAAATGAACAGCTGCAGACAGACTGGTTGACAAACACTTCTTTCAGATGCTAGATGAGAGAAGGGACTCCTGCCCACGTTAAGAGGTAAGGACAATGGCCTTTGAAAGGCCCTTATCACATTGAGATCTGAGTCAAATGTCCGACTTCCTTTTCATGTCTATCAATTCTTTCTTCCTAAACTTTTCACCCTGTTGAGAAATGAAATAGTCATGTGATTGAGAGGGGTCTTCAATTACCAACTACAACCAAAGGAAGGATAGTAAGTCCTTCGCCCTTAGTGTGTTTAGTAACTGGCATGTCACTTCCTTTTATGCTATTCCCTAATCCTCTTGGTTGAAGCAAGGCAGGTATGGGGCTGGGCAGAGGGTGGGGAGGGGAGGGGAGTGACGGGGTCTAGACAGTTTTTCTTGGTGATTGTATAATATATCCCAAAGCCCAGATTTATTTTCTCCCCCCCACCCCAAAAATTGAGGCTCACGAGTTCAATGAATGATTTACAAACATTTAAAAATATTTTTGTTTATTCTTCCTTCCAAAGACATTTACATTTTCTATTCAGAGAGATCACCTCTATGAAAAAACTACAAATGTATGCCCGGCCTGGTGGCTCAGCGGTTGAGCATCGACCTATGATCCAGGAGATCTTGGTTCAATTCCCGGTCAGGGCACGTGCACGAGTTGTGGGCTCGATCCTCAGCAGGGGGTGTGCAAGAGGCAGCCGATCAATGACTCTCTCTCATCATTGATGTTTCTCTCTCCCTTCCTCCCTCTGAAATCAATAAAAATGTATTTAAAACAACAAACAAACAACTAAAAATGTAAGCAGAAAAAAAAATCCCCAAACACCTTACTAGAACCCCAAGGTGACCATTAAGTAAACCAAGACCTTGCTAACAAACATGAGCAGGTAGACTCCTGTTTAGGACAAAGGAAATACCAAATTAAGAGGATGTATCCAAACTCATTAACATTTAAGTCTCCTAGAGAGGAGTGAATGAATAGTGTTGTAGGTTGAATCATGTCCCCCCAAAAGGGATGGTTAAGTCCTAGCCCTCAGGACCTGTGAATGTGACCTTATTTGGAAACAGGGCCTCTGCAGATGTAATCAAGTTAGAATGGGGCTACATTGGAATTAGGGTGGGCCCTAAACCCAATGACTGGTGTCCTTACAAGATGGCCCTGTGACAGAGACAGAGATTCCCATAAGCCCTGTGGTTTCCACTGCAATATTATGAATAGTGTAGGAATTTTTAGAAATGCATTTGTCATGTTATAGCAGGAGAGCTGACTGTATTTTAGTAGCCCAAGGTCCTGTCTGCTCCCCAAAGGACCTCACTGTGACATGACACACTGCTATTCTCCACACTCTCTGTTCCAGCCAGGGTGGGCTCATCATTTCAGTTGTAAAGAAGAGCCTGCAAATGGACTGCCTGAAGGCAAAAACCAGCTACTGGATAACTATTATTTGACTTCCCAAAGTTTAAAATTTTCAAAAACTGGTTGCCAACATCTAAAAATAGAATATTTCCCATAAAAATCAGATCTACAGTTTTCCTGACAAACTGGAAGCTCTGGCCATCCCAGGCCCAACTTCCCCCACGGCATTGGCTGGCTGGGTGTAGCTGCCTCTAGATCTTTAGATGGGGCACAGGCTCTCTTGTTCGTCTCAATCCCTACCTTGGCCACCTGGTCCCGTAAACACCTGAGTTTGTGATTCTGAGATAGGGCTTTGCAGCTAGAGCCATAGATGAAATGCTTGCTCTATTGCTTCCCAATTGTGTCAGTGTGGAGCAGTTATATGAGCCTTCTGAGCCTCTGTTTACATATCTATAAAAAAGGATTACTAGGAAAGTGAAATGATATGATGTGTGTGAAAGTACTTGGTATACTGCCCGGAACATAATAGGACCTTGATAAAAGTATTTCCTCCCTCTAAGCTCTCACATACTTCCTCTCCTCACTTGGGAAGTCTTGCCTTAACCTTTTCAGTTCATTAAGTCTCTCTCTCCCTGTGGAAAAATCAAGATTTTCTACTGCAGCTCACTCACTCCTTTCATTCCTCAACTACTTACAGGGGTCTACTCAGTGCCAGGCGCTTTGCCAGATTACAGGCATTATGGAGATAGCTACTGCTATCATGAAGCTTTTAGTTTAAGTGGAAAAGACTAGCAAAATATATATACATATAAGTAAACAGATCAACTATATAATAACTTCAGTTTATGATACATATTATGGGAGAAAAGATTAGGTTGGGGTAAGATGGAATAGCACAGGCACTTAACTTTAGAAAGAGAGGTCAGGAAAGGGCCTCTGTGAGGAAGTGGCATTTAAAACAAGATTCAAGGCTGAGAAGAAGGCAGGCAGATAAAGATATAGGGGAAAGTGTTCCAAGTAACAGGAAATATTCTGGCATATAAAAAGCCCTAAGAGGAAGGAACTCTTAGAACTGATCTTAGGCCCATAGACAATGAAGAGCAACCCAAGGAGCCCAGAGAAGGATATGGGCTGGCCCTGCTGGGAGTTTGGATTTCAAAGTACAATGAGAGCTATTCAAGGGGGTTTTCCTTTCTAAAACCAGGTCTTCAAGTTTCTTATACTATTTTATATCTATCTTATACAATTTATACACACACATACCACACACATACATGTGTATATAAGTGTATGTAAATATATATAACAATTTTCAGATCATTACAGGTTAGGGTATATTAGAGCATAACAAAGGATAATAGTAAAGATGATTAAAAGAAAGGGAAATCTTTAAAAATATTTTTGACCTATGCAAAAAGGTAAATGAATTTTTTACTTAAATATGGATTTTAACTCATACGAATAGTGTTGCTCATAGGCAATGATCAAACAAATAACTTCTCCATTTAGCACCCTACAA